CCCCCCCTAATCATTAGGTCCTGATGCTACCGTATTCTTTAAAGCATCCGTTAATGTTTCCTCTCGCCTTCAGTCGTATATTGTATATGTGCGTGAAAAATCCATGTCTGCCAAGTGTGAGCCAAAGGTGCAAAAGTTTCCTGTGCCACACATGGTCTAATAACCGAAAAGCCACAGAAACGCCGCAACTGCCGCACATACGCCGACCTATGGCCAAATATGCACTGCTGATTGGGTACGCTCGGTGGCTGTCGTATGTCCTGAGGTCTTAAGTTTCCTCTTTAATTATCTATAATCAACAAAACTTCAATTAACTCGTACAGGAAGGTCCCATTGTGCTTTCTAATGCCAAAATTTTTTTCCTCTTTGCCTGTCGGCTAAAGGTATTTTCTGCTATCACCAGGAGCATCACAGAAATAATTTACCCAATACCTGATTGTATTTGATGGATTCTCGACCTCGAAGAATCGTCCTGGCGGATTCGTCACGGAAAAGTGCAAGTGTAGCCTATCGGAAAAGCTATTTTACGCCATGGTTCACCTTCATTTTCATTCACGGGTTTATAATTAAAAAAAAAGCAGGAAATGCCGCCTATGGATCATTCATGCAGCACCAAAATGTCATTAGAGACAGAAAAGACAAGGAATAAAATATTCCTTAAATCAACATCGTTGAAATGGGAACTTACAAAACTGATCACAGATATTGGGATTTGAAGTCTGCCTTTTATTAAGAATGAATAGTCGAGAGCATCTGTAATTATAACTTCCTTCTTCAACTGGAAGCAGCTGGAACACATCAATGATTGAAGATCAACGGAAGATCAACGATCAACATCATTAGCATATTAATGTCTTCCCAGAGGTGTGCAAAAATCCCCGGGGGTGTCACAAACCCCAGTTTCGGGGTTGAACCAAGAATCTCCGGGGCATTCCTGAGAAAGAAAGCATATGGAATTGCGATGAAGAAGCGTTTGTTGCTGCCATGCAGACGAATCACCTTTCGATAGAGTGCATCCTGGGACTCACAAAGTGGGTGGAGTTTCCTTCCACGCATATGTAGAAGTGTTCACATGATTCAGGGTCGGGGAAAAACCCATCAAGTTCAGGACATTCGAATTCTCCGCTGCTCGTTGTTGTTTTATCCGTCGACGTAGGGGATTGGTTCGCTGGTGAAAGAGCAAATTACATGCAAATGAACTACATTCATGATGTATGAGGATCATTATTTAAAAAAAAATGCATGGAAAAGAACTTTAAGGAATGAATAAGTAAATGCCACTTCAGTGACGAAAATAATGCCATCAATTTTAAGAATTGAGACAGCGTTTTGAGTCACTGATACCTCTTCAAAAATTAGATGAAAGAATAGACAAGAAACTTTAGGAACTGACTTGTTGTAGGTCTTGGTAGGAGATCCCCACAGTCCACATCCTCGGGATGCATGCAGTACAGTTCCTCTCGATGGAAGAGGTCGTCATCCGGACACTCATGTGGATAAGCAACGTAATTTATGCAATTGTAGAACATGTAACAAAAGGTCTCGTGGGGATAGAGACCTTCGGATGTTGGACATTGAAAACCTCCTCCACCAGTCGTGGAGCTACCACTTCCTGGCGTGGTTGATTGAGTCTCTTCAGCTGCAAAAAACGTAAATGTCTATAAAGCACCATTCATGTTTTACAAAGATTAAATGGAATGCATAAAATTGATAGGGAATTTAATTTGCTTTACGAATGAACGGAACCTTTTTTTCACAATTCGTGAGATTGAAAACTTGAAAAGTTACATAAAAATAGGATGGACACAATTTTCTTAGCTGTTGGTAAGTGTCTCCTTGAGGAGAGATACGATCAAGGGTAGGAAAGCTTTGATTTCGTACAGGGTGTACTGCCTGTGGGCCTGGGAAGTCTGTCTCCGCAGTCTACCGATTCGGGAAAGTCGCAGTAAAAGTGAATATCAGAAAAAAGCCAGTCGTCTTGGCAATCCATTTCGGTCGGTACACTTTCGTAGCAGCTGTAGAATTTCCAGCAGAACTCCGGGTGAGGGAATTCCCCGCTGGGCTCAGGACACTGGAATCCCTGTCCATTCATCCTTCCTGTGGAATAAGACGGAAGTAACATGCGGCACGAAGACCAAAGAATGGGGCATCCTGAAACAATGCCTCGACGATCGATGGATGTTGATGTGTGAAACTAACCTACGAAGAATAGTACCGACAGCAAAAGTACTACCAGTCTCTGTTGCATGTTGTATGATGCTACACGATCGTTTTTGACCAGGGCGAGGAGACAGAAATAGACTGCGTTTAGGAGCTTCCTCTCTCTTTTTCTGAATCCTTATCGGGAGGAACCACTTGAAAAGCGGGAGGCGCCAATGAGGATTTCGCATCTATTTCCTCCTCCCCTCCATACCGCAGAAGTTTCGCTTTAAGGATACAAGTACTTTATCATGTGAGTGGGGCCTCCATCGAGGGGCTTCCTAAAAGAAGCCTCTCTAAGTATTTCGTACTGCGCATTGAATCGCGTGATAGCGAGATTCGTTCTCTTATTCGCTACAATGTTCATACCATTGTCAGTGAGGATGTATGCTTTTTCAACTCTTTTATCATCATCCAAGCATATATTCGAAGTTGAATAGATTCATTAATAACGAGGAAAAAACGAAATAGTTTCCTTGTTTTATTCATCGTGGAAGAAGCTGATTGTATAGAATAAGTGAAGGGAAGGACCCACTCCTTGGGGGTCAAAATTTCAGAGCAGGAGGAGCACTGCTTTACTCTTTGCTAAGTCATGAGCACGAAACTCAAGTGCACACCTCGTGGGTAAAAGTAAAATCCAAACCTAATTTTAGTGACAGCTGCTGCAGCGAATTCACCCTTTCCATGGCAAATTAATACGGGAATGGTGATAGATGCCCTGAACTTAAGCCAAAACTTGCTTGTAACTGAGGTTCTCTGCTATATCCCAGACTGGATGGCTGTTCGTTCTTTCAATCGGACTTCTATTTTCTCTCAAATCTTTGCTGCTACAAGATTTGAATGAATTTTAATTAGTGTCTCCAAGTGGAGACGGTACCATGGAAAGGGTAAAAAGTACTGAGGTTCAGATAAACACGGAATAAGAAAAAAAAAGCTGAACAAGTTATATAACAACGTTTCGGCGTTGTTATATAACTCCCATATTTCGTGGCCTGTAACACAATAAAAGACAAAGCCATGCGAAGTCGGAATGAGATTAAAAACGAAACAGGTAAAGACTCACTGAACTAATCATAGACCGCCAAACCATCAAACATTGATTCAAACAAAGGTTCAGTGTATAGTCCAGTTTGGTTCTTCCCTGCTTTCAGCCGCCGCTGCGAGAGCTCGAGGCGTGAATCATAGTTTCTCAGGTCTCTGTGCCTTTGCAGAAATCTGGCGCGCGCATGCCAAGTCTCAGCGCTCTCATTTTTCCATCCACCTGTGTTTAACTTGGTGCGACTTTTGATTTCCTGCGGGTGTCGTAAAACGATTTGCGGCATCCGATCGGGACTGAATGACTGTTATACACTGCTGGACGAAATGAACTTCGTTTCAACAAAATCACTGGAAAAGATTGGGTGCTTGGTGTTTAGAAATGCCACAAAAATTTGTCGCTGAGAAACCCTAAAAAAAAATCAAGAAAACGAGAGAGTCGAAGACCGTAAAAAAAAAAAGAAAGATTGATTTGATCGCCTGGAGGAGGGAATAAGTGTGCTTCGTAATATCATCAATGGTAACGCCCGTTACCTTTCCTCAACCCCTTCGTATTCCTCTCTGCCAGCATCAAGAGGAACGAAATTTGGCATGTTTCTTACCTCCTTCTTAATATAGAATCGCTACAGCAAATTTCAAGTTCCATCTTCTCGGGGTTGCGGAGAACACTGAATCTTGCTTTTCGAAGATGTGAATTTCATTCCGTTTTTTTTTTTCTCTCCCCACATGTAGCCACTCCTGGGGGGAAAGAGACCACCCAAAGGATAGATATTGACTTTTAGATGACGAAAAGTGCCATTTTTTGTTGTTTTCAATGCACAATTTCACCATAAAAAAAAGAAATTAGCTGTCGTTCATTTTGACGTAACGTGCGGGCTCCAGTTCCGTCCCCCAGTGTTGCCGGATATCGTGCTGGGGTTATGTCAGATTTATGACCGCTTCGGTCTTGGTATCGGTGTCTGGTTCTTGTTTTTTAATGCATGAGACAATTTTGTGCTGAATTCACGAGATGAGCTGAGATCGAAACTGTGGTTAGCAGAGGCCGATCGATATGGTGGGATGTGGAGATATCATACACGGACATCCCTGAATAAACAGGATGGCGTCCAACACGAAATTTCATGCTTCCTAGCGGCATTCTCCTTCATTTAAGAGAAGTGGTTCGAGGAACTCCATATAACCCTAACGTTACACGTCCTCTGGAATGGTTCGTGAAAGTCTGAATAGACCTACGATCGACCTAATGAAACATGTTCTCTACGAGATGTCTGGACGACCACGGGATTGATCCTTGTAAGCCTAATTGTCCTCATAAATCGAGGAATGAGTTTTTTGAAGGAGAAAAGGTTAACCTAAACCTGGCTTGAAGACAGTCTGTCGGTAAAGCCTAGGCATAACGTTAGTGAGTCCTGTGGAGAAGGGGAGTGGGGTTGAGAATGAGGTTGAAGAGGAAGCCTTTGAAAAGTGGTTTTCACATTAATTTATTCTATTACGAAAGAATCCTAAATACGATCCTGGGAAGACGACACCTCGGGCGATATTGTATTTCTCCAAGGGAGTGGCGTCGATCATGTTCGCGGGAACATGCAGTGCTCTCGTTCTGTCTGTATGTCGTGTATAAACCCATATGGCGTTTAGAACATGTATCAATAGAATCGTGACGAGCCCAGCAGAAGTCGACACAGCAGGTCATGAGGCAGCTGTTTCGACGCTACATTTCACAATTGGTTCGATAGTCTTGCTTTCTTTATGCATGCGCCGGGATGGCCGTTTAGTTGTATTAGGAGACAACTTGCCGTCGTACACAAATATTTATAATCCGTATGTATGAATCCAACGTCTGTTTTTTTTTTTTCAAAGAAGTCCCTGCTCCTCTGCCAGCCGTTCGACGCAGTCTCATTTTCCCCATTTACAGTGTATAGAGAACGATTCTGGAAACTACAAAATCGGCAACCCGGTTAATGCGACGATTGCCAAATCCACATGATTTCGCTTGTTGATGCTGACGGACGCGAATTCGGGCCGGATGGCACAGTTAACGAAACAGCGATAACCGGAATCGAAGCTTGAGGAATCACGACCCCCCCCCCCCCTCTCCCCCCATCGAGAGCCAGACAATGTGGGAAGGGCTGTCGTGTCTGTTGGCGATGTGTTCCTGCAAAAAAAAAAAAAAACAGCGCTTCATTCCGAAGCATTCGCTCAGTGTCTCCATGACTTTCGAGAAGCAGATAAACGGGAAGCTCGGTCTTACAGCACGTTTCTGCCAACGAAACGCAAGGCGAAGGCAGAGGATTCAAGGCTTTTTATGGCCCGAGTCAGTCTTCTTTCAAGGTCAATGCCAGGATGCCGGTGCACATTCATATCTCGAGCCTCGGTCGAGCACTCATCCTTGACACTTTCCTTCCCCCCCTCTTCCTCCCAATCCTAATTATAGACGTACCCCTCTTAATGAGGAATGTTTCTAATAGGATCGTCAACATCTTCCTCGGTTACTTGTCGCTATACTGGTTCCCATTTTTTAGTGTCCTAGGTATAAAAACTCTTCTTATTGCTATTAACGAAAGGTTTTGCCGTTACATCATCACCTGACTCCATGAAATCACTACCTGACAAGTAAAAGAGGTATCCCGCAACTTCAATAGCACTTGAGACTTATGTAACTTGTAATAAAAAATTGTATTGAGTAATTGTACATTTCCCAATGAACCATTACTCTTTTCTCTTCTCGACAGCTTACTAATTCAGTTCATCATCCAATATTTAATCCCATGCACCTTCAACTTAACTCGTAATCTCTCGCAAAGTATGGTATCGAAAGCTTTAACTACTTCAAATTACTGTATATAATGTCGACAAGATACCCTTCATCAGTTATCTCCGAGAACAGATCGTAATATACTCGTACTAGCTAAGTTGCAAGACTATTGATATAGCAGAGAAATTAAACCAATTTAATTGAATGGCAGCATCCAGAAAGGTTCAGGGGCTAATGGGTTCCATGAGCCAGGACAACTGTCTATTCTCTCCACGAAGTTGTGCAGGTCATACGAGAAGACAAAATAAAGAGACGTACAGCTGATTTTACAGAACAAATTTGCATTCTTCTCATTTTTAAACAGCAAGAATTTAACCTTTAAAAAACTGAACAGCGATGATTGAAGAGCATTCACGTCTGCACTAGTGAGTTGTGGTTTCCGTAATGCGAAGTCATATTGACCCCTTTGCCAGCCAATGGAACCAACACAATCATGCAGAGGCGAAAATATAAGCAAAAAAACTTCCAGCGAATCCACCTTTTTTTAAATCATCAACGATATCCATGAATTAATTTTCCATTATCTACCCTGCTCAAGGGTTCATCAGTTGAAGCGAGTAAAATGCAGTTAAAGAAAAATCTTTGGGTAAAAAATATATAACGCTTTTGAGTCATCCGAAGAAGGAAAAACTGGAGCCTAAAAGCAGTTCCACACTTTGCGTGTCTCTCGTGTTGCGCGTGAATGCACGAGCAGGTAAGCAAACGCACGCGTGCACACGCATTCCCGCGAACATCCAAGGGTTTCAAGAAGACACAAGGCTTGCGTGCGTGATTGGGATGAGTTCAATTCGGGACGTCTGCACCCATGCATGCCAGAGGGAGAAGCCTTCGGAGGTGAAAGCCGCCCAGCGCGTCCAAATACAGTCATACTAAATGACGATTCTCGCTGGCATTCTATTATCACACGTGGAGACGCACGCTTGATAATGGCAGTGGACGAAGGAAAAAACATGTATCGGAGATAGAAAAAAAAAAGAGAAAGAGAGGCTTCCTGATTCAACATCGTGGGTATGGGAATTTAAAAACATCACAGATATTGAGATTCGAAATCTGTCCTAGGAATCAATAGGCTTTGGTAGCGCCTATTACCGTTCTTCAACCCTCACCCGTAGCGAAATTCAACCTCTTCGTACTCCTCTCTGAGAGCATTAACAGGAACGAAATTTAGCTTGCTTCCTCTCTCAACACAGAATAGTTCCAGCAAATTTGAAGCTCCATCTCCCCGGGGTGGTGGAGAACACTGAATTTCGTTTCGTTTTTTTTTTCTCCTCCCCCTGGGTAGTCCCTCCTGGGGGTTTACGGAGGAAAGAGACCAACCATGAGAAAGATATTGACCCGTAGATGACGAAAAGTGGCCTTTTGGTTGTTTGTCATGCACCATTTCGCCATGAAAAGTGAAATTAGCTGTCGTTCAATTAGGCTTAGAGAACTTGCTCCGGTACCGTCCCCCAGGGTTGCCGGATAACGTGCCGAAATTATGCCAGGTTCAAGATTACTTCAACATTCGTATCCGCGTCTGGATCCTCTTTCCTTTAATGTATGCATTTTCGTACTGAGTTCATGAGTTACACTGAGAATGAAGCGGTGGTTAGCAATGATTGATTGATGAGGTGGGATATCGAGATATGTCATCCAGACATCCCTGAATTAACATGATGGCGCGTACCATGGATTAAAATGGCTCATGGAGGCATTCCCTTTTCAGACATATTCCAGATGGTTGAGGAACTCCAGATAGATAGAAGAAAGGAAAAGCCATTGAAAATTGGTTTTCACATTGCTTCATTATGAATGCATGAATACCCAAACTTAGGCAGGGTAGGTGATTGGAAGATAAAGTCTAAAATATAGGTAATTATACATAAATTTTATTCTGTCAATAATTAGAGATCAACGGTGGCATCATACATATATTAATGTCTTGCCAGAGGTGTGCAAAATTCACCAGGGGTGTCACAAAACCCGGTTTCGGGGTTGAACCAAGAATCATCAGGGCATTCCTGAGAATGGAAGAACAGATTCGCGGTGAGGAAGCGATTATTAATGCCATACAAGTGAATCACCGACTGAGTGCATCCTGGGACTCACAGTGTGGCTGGGTTTTCCTTCCACGCATATGTAGAAGTGTTCACATGATTCAGGGTCGGGGAAAAACCCATCAGGTTCTGGACATTGGAATTCTCCGCTGGTCGTTGTCGTTTTATCCGTCGACGTAGGAGGTTCCATCGCTGAGAGAATATGCCAAAATGCATATAAATGAATTGAATGGAAGAAGTTATACAATTTCGAGAATATTAAATTGCGAAAAGACCATGATTGATTCCAGTAGAGAAACTGACTCTTCTTCAAGAATGAGATCTAGGATAGATATGACGCTATATAAACTGACATGCGGTGGGTCTTGGTACGAGATCTCCACAGTTCACATCCTCGGGATGCATGCAGTACAGTTCCTCTTGATGGAAGAGGTCGTCATCCGGACACTCGTGGGGGTATGGATGGAAACCTATGCAGTTGTAGAACATGTAGCAGAAGATCTCGTGGGGATATAGACCTTCGGGTGTTGGACATCGGAAACCACCAGTTCCTGGCGTGGTTGACGGAGTCTCTCTAGCTGCAAGATCAGAAAAGTGTAAGAAGCAATACATATTTTACAAAGATTAGATGGAACGCAGAATACTGTCGGGAATTTAATTTACGAATGAGCGGAAACGCTTCTTACGGCTCATGAGACTGAAACACAGAATTTACAAGAAAGTAAGATTATCGCAATTTTGTTAGCTCCTAGTAGATCTTGGCTAGTAGATAGCAAAGCTTCGATTTCGTACAGGGTGTACTGCCTGTGGGCCTGGGAAGTCTGTCTCCGCAGTCTACCGATTCGGGATAGTCGCATCCATGGTAGACGAGAGAAAATAGGAGGTCGGGTTGGCATTCCAGTAACGTTGGTACTTGATTGTAGCAATCGTAGTACATCCAGCAGAACTCTGGGTGAGGATAAGCTCCGTTCTCGGGGGGACACTGGAAGTCCTGTCCATTGATCCCTCCTGTGGAGTCAGATCAAAGTATAATTAGACATGAGAATGGGAGGATGAATCGGGCAGTTGAAAATATTTCCGGGTGATCGGTGGATGGTTAGGGATGAAACAAACCTACGAAGAATAGTGCCGACAACAAAATTATTACCACTTTCTGCTGCATTTTGCGTATTGCTACACTGACACTTTTGACTCGGTCAGAGAAAGACTGCGCACAAAATCTCTCTCTCTCCTTAATATATACTGTATATGTATCAGGAGTAACCACTTGAAACGCGTCAAACGTCAATGGGAATTCCGCTTATCTTGCATCATCCTCTCCAAAACACGGAACTTTGGAAGTCCTTCAAGAAGAATCCATTTTCCTCTTGCGTTGCATTAAAAATAACCGTGGCATGGCGTCATTCGTCGCCCACGATTATAACGTCCGTAATAATATTTGTGACGCTGTACGATTCGTCATCAATTTCACCCTCATTTCCCAAGGATGTCATAAGTTAAGGAGATTTATCAGTTGTTGAGAGACCGGCGCCAAATGTCGCAATTTCATCACACAGTGGAAACTGTCATGTTTGCGCCGTTATGCACCAACTAAATTACCAGTATCATCACCCTGACGACATTACTCCCAAGCTTTGCCCTTCCATGTTTACAATATGAATTGGAGGCTTATGAAAACTTGTATTTGAACTGCGAGCAGGGGAAGGTGGGGCAAAACAGGGCAACTGAGATTTTCATTTTAGCTCAACCATACTCGATATTTATCGAATAATTACTATATTCTAACTCCTCACCACAGGTGCAAGTTTTTGCAAGCACGGCAGCTTTCTGTAGTTGTAAACTCTAGGAGCAAAATAAAGTAACATGAGAACATAGAAGGCGTTCGATACTTTTTTTTTTGCTAAAGGTGAAATTGTGGACTATTACATGAAGTCATAACTTTTTGCATGGGTTACTTACTCTTTTTTGGAAGCGTCTTAATCATAAACAGTACTGGCGATGCAGTGATGCTGTTAATGATAACCAAGCTCTTGACCTTCAAACTTCTGGTCCTTCTATACCTCACACCTCACACCATTGTTTCTCAAGCTACGACAAGCCGAATAACCCCTACGTCGTCTCCCCAGAGGAAATTATTCCCTTGCCACAATTTACTCAGGTCCCAAGACTGAACGCCGCCGGGGATAGACGACGGGGACAAAATGTCATCCTAGCGTTTCTCATCTTATAAAAAGGGGGGTCCATGAGTTCGGTCGCGGTAAAAGTGAAAAGGCGGAAGCTGGTGATGCCCAAAAAGAAACTGGACGAGAAGACAAGCAGGCTCAAGAGGCCGACACAGACGGAGTCAGATCACAGCAACAGTGAGACTCAGGCTGGCATGATCTACTGTTCGGATTCTTTCTCTTGCTCGAAACCCGGTGAAGGTCGGGTGATCTGCTGTTTGCCGCTATAGGGTTCATGACGGCTGTGCAGGCATCAATGACGACACGGATGAGGGCGTGATTGTCTATGACTTCTGTAAATAGGTGTCTATGATGAAGACATCGATAACAAATTGAAACAGCAACAACAATTTTGCCATAGAAGTTTCATTGCTCTTTCCGTCCTGTGGCTTTAGCAAATAGGCGTTCAATGAAGACAAAGGAAAACAAGGATGGTTATTTGTAGATGTAGTATCATAGCTGTTTCTGTAATGAGACCGATTTAAGTAGGTATGTAATATGAATAAAAACTTTATAAAACTGTAACGGGCACGGGGCGCAGTGGGTTGGATTTATGAAAATGTGAAATATTAATTAAGTTAAAATAAAACCTGTACCTTAACGCGCCCCGATTCCATTACAATGAATTCCCTTCCAGGAAATTAGGTCCGTGCCAATTCAAATTCGAGCGGGAGTAACTAAGGCGTAATTCAAGAAAACAAAAAAAAAGTGTATTTCCAAAAAAAAACTAATAAAAAGGACAATAGAAATGTTAGCCAAACAACCGGTCCAACCCCTTTACAGTACTTTCAATGACAAAAGGTTGATCTTCACTTCCAGATAAAACCTTGCCAGTTCTGGGGAAAACTCACAACCATCGAAGCGGAAAGATTCTCTAACTAAACGTTGTTCCTCTGTATGTTTTTTTTTTAGAGAGAAAGGCAGCCAGTTTCAAAACACCCACGATCTAAAAGGGCCCGAGTACCCCGGTCAAATCGGTACTAACTCGAGTTCTTCGAGTTCGAACTCTTCAGTCACCTCGGAGTGAGGGATCGAGGGAGGGATCTTCAGCTCAAATCTTGCTGGATTGGAGGATAGGTTTTGGCGATTGGACTTGATTGGAGGGACTTTGATACGCATTCGCATAATGGTGTTATGGCTCCTTGTACAGTGTTTGGGTAGCACATTTGAGAAGGAAAGATCCTGCATTTAAATTGTAAGGAGCCCTTCCACGGGTTGGTTGACCCCAAACACTGGGTTCACCTCCTCGTGTTGATGGATGTTTTAGTTCACCTCCTTCAGCTTCCTCCCCGCCTTGACTCTACTGATACACTGGACGTTGCGCGGTCATAGGCTGGCATACGTTACAAAGTGTCTCGTAGCATTTCCTCATGGATTTATGTTTTTGGCGTCCATTGATGACATCCATCGATTCATTTCCGTGAAGAGAAAAAACTGATCTTGGTATTTTCTTTTGCTATTGCCTCCTTCATTTCCTGACACCGGTTAAACGCTGAAATGATTTGGTTTTTCTTCCCGGCACAAACGGAATATTTTAGCATAGACATTTTAAACTCCTTTTTTAGGATGAGAGATTGAGGACTAGATGCACTTCAGTCTTTATTGAAAATCGAAATGCAAGTGCTACACGCTTGTATGTATGCATTTGGACATTCATGCGGGACGTAAGTTTCGGGAAGATTGAGGGAACCCACCTCTGAAAAAGCATGGCCCCGTAAAACAGGTTTCCTCCAGGAAGTCCTTGGAGCAAGCAAGTCCGGCAATAGCACAGCGGTTGAGACATCGGGGGTGGAGGATCCTTTCATAAGAGACTTTCTTTACATTTGACCCTATTTACTCTGCCGCCATCTGCCCTTAATTAATCTCTGCCCTTATTTAATGATGGCTGAATTAGGGAGATGGAAATGCATTAATCCATGTTAACCTCGAGCGTGGGGCTACAAGGGGCCGAGCAAGAGGGGTAGCAGGGATTAGTGGAGGTTTAATAGGGGAGGTTATATAAGTGCATGCCTAATCCCCCGCTCAGAAAGCTTCTAGGAGAACCCTATGTAAAAGTCTGGGGTGTTTTAGGGCTTGGCTCTAAAAGGCCCCTTTAGTTCAACGAGGTCCTACAGGAAAATCCGGAAGATTTTGAAGTTTAAAAATAGTATGGAATGCTAGAGGTACCTTTAGATAAATATATGCAATGAGATATTTTATGTTTAAAAAATAAAAGCTTATAATCAAACAGGTTACTTTCTAAGGGGAAGAAGAAGGGAAGTTTATTGGCTAAAAGCTCGAGGTCTTTTTTTGCCATCCCTGTATAAGCGGAAACTAATTTCGCATTCCGCCTGCATTTTTATGATCCAAAATGTGAAAAAAAGACCGATCTTTCCTACGATCTCTTTCACGCTCGGAAAAGTGAATAGAAATCAGAACGAAAATTGGACGAAACGAAAACGAGACAAAAATTGACAAAAATGGTGGACCGAGAGGATGGCGAAAATTGACGAATGACGAAAACTTCGTTTTGACAGTAACTAAATCTCTATTTTTAAAAATTTTAAAAAGTATGACGATTTTTAGTCGATGACAGGTCCAAGACGATAACTTGATTGAAATGAGCTAAATATGCACTGATTGTGAAGTTGATCATTGTATTGAATCTGATATATCATGGACCAATACTTGAGGGTTTAACAAGCCTGGGAGACAGACGCAAGAGAAGACTTCCTCCTTCTTCGCCCTCTTCTCCTCCCATGCTGTTCAAGACGGATTCCTGAAATAGGATGGACATCGAATGGTGAAACGACGAAAACTAATTATACGTATATGGCGATTATTGTACGAAAGTTGATGGGGTGATGGAAATAGACGGTAATGGATGTTTACGAGATAATAAAAACGTATACCTCCTAATTAGTTAATTAATATTAATCAAGTTCATAGAAATTCACTATGATGGCGATGAGACAAAAATAGGATTGCAAAACAATGACAGAAAGCGACTAAAATGGACGACAAAAAGGGTGACAAAATTTGACGAATCACGAAAATCTCAATTTGATCGAATCACTAAAACTAGATGAAAATGGCCGACGCTTTTGGTCATGAAACCAAGGCGACAACAAAATTGAAAATTCGTATTTTCAGAGGCAGATAGGCATATTTTCCTCTTTTTTTCCTCAATGTCAAATGTACTGTACGAGGTCTGTTCAAAAAGTATCCGACCTGAATTTTTTCCGCGAAAACAAATGAAGCACGGGAGGTGTCCTCCGGTGGGGAGGTGGAGGGTACCTTTATGCGCATGTATGACTTTTTTCACGCCCGCAGAGAGCGTCAGTCGCTGGCAGTGAGCCTGTGAGTGAGGGAGTGTACTCAGCGTCCGTCTAATTTTCTTTTTCCGCGAAATGACGGAACGGTTAGAGCAGCGGTATTGCATCAAATTTTGCCAGAAGCTTGGCGATACCCAAGTGGAAACCATTCGGAAGA